AAGTCGCGTTTCGGAGCGCGGCTACGTGCTGCGCTCCAAAGGGAACGCGACCCGGGCCTTGGGGTGAGTTCTCTTTAAGCGGGCCCCTTGATAGTTCCACTGCTGCAGCGACTTGCTCTTACGGCCGTAGCGTACAACAACGATCAGCCGCCGCCAGATCCGGTAAAAGTGCGCCCTCGTGGTCTGTCCGACGTTCGGGGGGACGACCCGCCGGACGGTCCTTTGAGCACTCCGTGGGACGGCATTCTACCGACCGAACTTCGCTTTCGGGGGCTAGCAACCTCAGCCTGGAAGTGAAGGTAGGCCGGTGGTAATGCCATCTCACGGAATGCTCGACGGACCTTCCGGCAGGTCGTCCCAACCCGACCGTTGGCAGACCACGTGGTCGCACGAGTAGGGGCCGTCTGCGGACCGCCTAGACCAGCCGGCAATGACCCACCGATGGTGGCCATTGAAACACCTTTGGGTTGACTAATGCTACCTCAAGTAAAAATAGTGATACCGAGTGTCCCGAATTTGCGTTCATTCGGGACGGTTGGGTGGTCATCAAGCGTGGGTGTTTGCTCACGCTTCATGAGCATGCAGCCAACCTGAGTGTGTGTGTTCATTCGGCTCACTCACTGTCACTATTTTTATTCGAGCATGGTTGCCCGCCATGGGAAAAAGCGAGTTCGCGTCCGCGACACAAGAGGGATGGTAAACGGCGTTCCCGAACGATTCCTGTGTCTTGTAGCTGCCATTCAGGGCTGTTTTCGGCCCTGAGCCGGCAGTAACGAGGCAGAGGAATGTCTCGGTAACTCCTTTTACCATTCTTGTGTCGGGACCCGAACTCGTTTCAGCCCGTGGCCGACTGACTATATGACTGACTTGGGTTGGTGGCGGGTGCATGTGGTTTGGTGGCGGGTGCATGTGGGTTGGTGGTGGGTGCATGTGAGTTTGGTGGCGGGTGCATGTGGGTTGGTGGTGGGTGCATGTGCTTTGGTGGCGGGTACATGTGGTTTTATTTCCTAATTGTATTTAATCGTAAGTGTAAGAGGTCTGTCCGGGAAGTATCCGAACAGATCTCATAATGATCAATTTTTCATCCTCTTTATTCCTTACCTCTTATTCCTTACCTCTTATTCCTTACCTCTTATTCCTTACCTCTTATTCCTTACCTCTTATTCCTTACCTCTTATTCTTTACCTCTTATTCTTTACCTCCTATTCTTTCCTTCTTATTCCGTACCACTTCCTCTTTACCTCTTCTTCTTTACCTCCTATTCTTTACCTCTTATTCATTCCTCTTATTCTTTACCTTTTATTCTTTACCTCTCATCCTTTACCTCTCATCCTTTACCTCTCATCCTTTACCTCTAATCCTTTACCTCTCATCCTTTACCTCTCATCCTTTACCTCTCATCCTCTACCTCTCATTCTTTACCTCTCATCATTTACCTCTCATCCTTTACCTCTCATCCTTTACCTCTCATTCTTTACCTCTCATTTTTTACCTCTCATTTTTTACCTCTCATTTTTTACCTCTCATTCTTAGGGTAGAATCTATATATCAATATAGGTAGAAAGATACTACTGTAATCTAGTTGTGGAATGGTGCATACCATTAACCATCTACATATACTGCATCTAAAAATGAACCACGACGAAATGACTATGGTACGAAAAGTCATGATCATAAGTTGAGGGAAAATAACTTTTACCTCATTTTCCGCTGAGAGAGATAAGAGATTAAACCTGAATCTCAAAGACTCGGATCCACCATCAGACGTGAAAATATGCGCCAATCATATTCTAAACATATTGTAATTAGTATGTAAAGTAATGAACTACGACGAAGGTAGTGTGAAACGAAATACTATTTTTATGAGATCGAGTTGAAAGAAATTCTGCCTATAATTTTGTGATGAGAGAGAGACTAGAGACTAAAGATTAGAGACTAGAGATTAGAGAACAGTGGAACGAAGTCCAATACCTATGATTTGAGTTGGAAGAACTTCTACTTCATTTTCCGATGAAAGAGAAGAGAGCAAAATTGATTTCAAAGACTCAGATTTATTACTCGATGGAGGAGTGTACGCCATTCACCATCCAAGAAGCATATTCTTATCAGTATGCAAAGTTATGAATTAAGACGAAGGTGGCGTGGAGTGGAAAGCAATTCTTTATGAGATCGAGTTGCCAGAACTTTTACTTACGAGTAAAATTTTGTGATCAAAGAGACTAGAGAAAAGTGGAACAAGGTTCAATATTTATCAGTTGAGTGGGAGGAACTTATACTTCATTTTCCGATGAGAGAGACTAGAGATCAAAGTTGATTTCAAAGATTCAGATTCATTATCACATACGGAAGGATGCACCATTCACCATCCAAGCATGTTGTTATCAGTATGTAAAGTAATGAACTAAGATGAAAGTGGTGTGGAACGGAAAGCTATTTTTACGAGATTGAGTTGCAACAACTTTTACTTTGAATTCTGTGATGAGAGAAACTACAGAACTGTGGAACGAAGTCCAATAGCTATGAGTTGAGTTGGAAGAACTTTTACCCCCTTTTCCGATGAGAGCAATAAAAAAAAAAAAAAAATCATTTAAACAACTCAGGTTCATCATCGGATGTGGAACTTAGCGCCATCTACCTCCTAGACAAGTTGCTTTTAGTATGTAAAGTGTTCAATCTTCTTATTTTAATCTAAAATTTCTGTTGAGTATAATATGCTTCGGTAAATTTTGTATAAACTTATTTGTTTTTTTAATTTCTGCGTTGAACCATTCCAGGTTACCCGGACCGCTTCGCGGTGCAATCCCCCGAAGCGCTTTGCACCTGAGGCGTTTAACGTCAAGTACGCATTACTCGCATACATTTATATTATAGAGATAAAGCTAACGATTATTAGACACGATACGTTTGGAAAACCTAACATGGACAGAATTGAAATCAGAATAGTTTATCCTATAATTTGTTCACTCTGCAGTGAGCCTGTGTCCTCATTCTATATTAATACTACTTTAATCTTTTAAGTAATGGGCAATTTTTTTAGTACTACTTTAATCTTTTAAATGATGGACAATTTTTTTGTACTACTTTAATCTTTTAAATAATGGGCAATTTTTTTAGTGTAGTTTCAGTGACAGTGTTGTGAGTGCTTTCAGCCTGGCGTCGGGCAATTGGATAACCTACTGCTGGTACGTATACAACAATTTTTTTCTTTCTTTTGATGAGCAGTATAATGTTCCTCTCTAATATTTAGTAATGATTTAAATGATATCTCTACAAAAAACGTAACTTTTGATATATTTTCTTTAAAGAAAGATATCCCTCTGAACCCAATTAAATTGATAGGTATTCATTTATGTAACCCTCACTGGAAAAAAAAACACATTGGATCTAGAGTCCAAACCCTTAAAAAAATCGACAGGAAAAAGTACTCTTGATTCAATCAGAATCTAGCTTAAATCAAGAACCAATCATCTTAATTTAAGCGGATTTCGTTTTGATTCAAGCAAAAATCCGATTGAATCAAGAGTATTTTTTCTTGTCAATATTTTCAAGAGTCTGGACTCTAGATCCAATGTGTTTTTTTTCCAGTGCTTGTCTCGTCTTGTAAGGAAAAAGGGAACATTTTCCCCGAAAATTTCGCAAAAGGTGAATACATTTTCAAAAACACGCTGGCAGTGCAGAACTCTTTTTACTTCTAAGAAGATTTATATATTTTTTTAAAAGATTTTTTAGTATAGAATGATATTTTTAATCTCCTGAAATGTAATGATCATTTATTTACTTTATTTTAATTCTAACAATGTTAATTTTCATGATATTACAAATTGTTTTTCTTGCGGTAAAGGGGGGGGGGTGGCAGTCATGGGGCCCAGACTTTAAAGCTGGTACCAGGGCCCGAGATGAGATGTGGCGGGCCTGCGGAAAATACGCGATTTGGATAGCAGGAGTATAATATGTGAAAACTTCAGTAATTTGAGACAGGCATGAAACTGAGATTTCCCTTCAATTCCGTGCTGTACCACACACCGACTCCGGAGTTTAAAAAGTTGCGCGCTTGATTTCCTCATTTAACGAAGCGAGCATAACACAACCCGACACTCATCATTTGTGCAGCGGTTTCGTGAAAAGTGAGAGATTATGCGATTTTCATCTTGACATTGCCAGTAGTATACGATTTTTCCACCTGATTCATGTAATTTTAAGGAAACACGCGGTTTTCATCTCAGTATCGCGGGAAATAGCCATTTTTTCAGCTACACTGAAAAAAAAAAACACTCAGTCTGGACTCTAGATCCAATGATCTAGAGTCCAGACTCTTAAAAACATCGACAAGAAAAAGTACTCTCGGTTCAATCAGAATCTAGCTTAAATCAAGAACCAAGCCTCTTAATTTAAGCGGATTTCGTTTTGATTCAAGCAAAAATCCGATTGAATCAAGAGTATTTTTTCTTGACAATGTTTTCAAGAGTCTGGACTCTAGATCCAATGTGTTTTTTTCCCAGTGTATTTTGTACAGAATGCGGGTGGTCAAAAGTCTGTAAAATCGGGCAGTGTCAGGGAATTGGTAAAGACGGGGAGAAATTGTGATCTTAATCTACCGCCGAGAGCTTTGCCTATATGCCGCGTTATAAAAGTGAATAATGAGTAAATCTTAACGATGATGCTACTAAGTCATCAGGGAAATCGCGTCTTAATCGCGATGTTGCATTGATTAATGCGTTATCTCTCACTTTTTCTACAACGTCGCCGGAAAAATGGCCCATTTCGCGATATCAATATGCAAGGCGCGTAATCCCTTTGGGTTCATAGAATTTGCTGGACATGTCGCGGAAATATCGCGAGATAAAGTCGTAAAACGCGCGATTTCTCATTTTGTAACGCGCGGAATTCCAAAATGCAACTATTCGAACTCCGGAGTAGGTATGTGGTATCATGAGAAATTGAAGGAGAATCTTAGCTTTTCTCCTATTTGAATTCACGGCGTTTATAAAAATTATGCTCGCATTGATACGAAATTCGCGTATTTCAGCGATTGAGATAAATATTTTGTGATCATTTATAGTCTCCATCAACCGTTGTAAATTTGTGCCCCCGACACGATATCGAGGTGAATAACCCATGATTCTAATCATTTAAAAAACCGCTGGAACAATCTCATATTTGCCGCGATACTGCAGGAATCATCGCGTAATTTCTAATTTTCTCATTAAAATACTAGAAAAAACCGCATTTTGCCCGATACCGAGAGATGAAAAGCGCATAATATTCCAGACTTGTACGAATCCGGTACAAATATCTCGTGCTTCTTGCGATATACCGAGATGAAATTCACGAAATCTCTCACTTTATAACGCGCGCAATTCAGGGGAGCAACTATTCGAACTCCGGAGTAGGTATGTGGTATCTTGGAAAATTGAAGGAGAATCATAGCTTTTTTCCTATCTGAATTTACTTCGTTCATAAAAATTTTGCCGGCATAATTTTAAATTCAGGTATTTTCTGCGATTGATATGATTTTTCTACCATCATTAGTGGTATTCATCAACCGTTGTGGAATATGAGTATCCGCGACGACATCCGAGGCGAATGACGCATGATTTTAATCAATTTAAAATGTCGCTGAATTACTCGCGTTTTTGCCGCGATATTGTGGTGATTATCGCGTATTTCTCTTTCTTTCTTTGATACCGCAACTTCTGAAAAACAGCGCATTTCTCGCGATACCGAGATGAAAATCGCGCGATTTCTCACGCTTTTACAAGCGGAAATGAAGCGAACCAATATTCGAATGCCGGAGTAGGTATGTGGTATGGTATCACGCATAAATGAAGGATAATCATAGCTTTTTATCTACATATCAAATCATATGAATGAAGCCATCATGCTTGCATCGGCGCATCGGTAAATGCGGAAATCAAGCGCGCAACTATTCGATCTCCGAAGTAGGCATGTGATGTGGTATCCCGCGGAAATGAAGGAAAATCTTAGCTTTTCGCCTCTCAAAGTACTGACGTGTATTGAATTGATAGTACGCTCGTATCGTTATCAATTGCATTTTTCTGAGATTTTGACGAGATCATTATTTAATTTTTACACCTTTTCAATATCCATAAAATAGTTTGTGTTTGCCGCGATATTTACGTGGAAATTACGTTGTAATTTTTCTTTTTTGAAACATAACTGCTAAAAAAATCGCGTTTTCTCCTCAATAATCGTCCGCGTTTACTCGTTGAAGTGATGAAACAGTTTTTTGGCAATATCTGCAGCCCGAACAAACCGGAAAAATTGATTCTTCTTTGTCTCTTATCATTGAATTAATTGAACGAAGTCACTACAACTACTAGTATTAGAACTATGTGTAATAGTAAATGCTATACTTCTAGGGCTTTCAGGGGTGCAAAAACTTTTCGACCGCGCGACCGAGTGGATCGCGATCGGTTGCTTGTGAAAATGGAAATGGCTCTGAAAACACCATTGGAAAGCCTGTAAAATCTCGATTTTTTTTAAATACTACTGCGGTAAAAAGCACGTGTTTTTCGCATAATCGCTGAAATTCATACGTGTAGAGCCATAGGAAAGTCATTTTTGTGAAATTTTGAGGGAGGAGGAGTTTTTATAAAGGGAAGACAAATTTTAAAAATGGGAAGGCTAAAAACGTTTTGCATCCCTTGCTTAGCGCAATTAATCGATTCCAGAATGCAATAATGGTGTCCTCCTAAATTCAACGAAGAAGCATCGGTTTCTTGTGATTTTGAATCTAATTTTCCTCAGAGTTGTGGTTTATTTCCAGCAAGCAGTCTGTAGCTCTTTTTACTTCTTATCGTCCCTGCACAAAACTGTACTTTTGAAAACATATTCCGTGCCTTGATTTAGCTAATAATCTTTTCTTTTGCTTCCTTTTTCAGAATCGTCTGCATTGAGCTGCGTACTGCTGATCTGATCGGTATGTAATTTTATTTTATTTGTAGCTTTCTGAATAGATTAAACTCGCAATGGTTAATAGTGCCGAAGTAAGGTGCTTTCAATTGGATTGGAAAGAAACTTTAACAGTGCACAATGGAGCGAGTCAAATAGGAGAGGTCGGACAGAATTTGGAAATTTTAAATGCTTTTAACGCCGTTTATACTAAACATCGAGGTTCTAAAATTGTTTCCATTGGTTTCCTCGTGAAATTTTTCTCCTAGAAGCACCCCTTAATGCCTAAAACGTCACGAAGTACACTTCAAAATTAGCATTTTTAGTCAAAAAATTTATGTCCGACCTCTCTAATTGACTCGATCCACTGTTCGGCGAGAGCAAAAATCGTCGCTCCTCTGACGAAAGGGCGTATCACGATTTCCGCTTGAGCCTCGGAACGCATGGACTTATACGTAGAACAGGGCTCACGTGCAAATTGAGATACGCTCCTACGTCGGAGAGACAGCGAAATGACGAAAATAAGTGGTGGAAAGATGCCTTTTTTTTGTTTTTTATTACTTCAATTCAACGGTTGTAAACTCAAAAGAATCAAGCGAACGGAATGGAGGCCAGGTTGCAAACTCGCCTACCTCAGAAGCGAGGCGGGATAATCAATTATCGATATTATCCCATGAAGCCACGGTAAAGAATCGATTATCATGGTGTTCCTTGCAAACACCCAACTTCTTGAGATTTATCGACCCTTTTCCATAGGTTTAAATGGCAGATCAATCGATAAATCGCAAAGCACGCTACGCCACTGATTCAGGCGGTGCTCCTTTTCCTCTGCACACGAGTTTCGCTCGTCTAGAGGTGAAGATGAAAATTATGTATAGGGTATCGGAAACCTAAACATTTTTCCTGGGTGATTCTTGAGCCAATGCAAATTTTTTAATATATCTTTCTCATTTATTCTTTCTCATGGTAATACAAAAGCGCGTCAACTTTGATTTCTGGATGACTGAAATCGGGAATAAAATCAACAATTTGATGTCTCCAAGCGAAAGCGACGACTGTTAAATTCCTCTTGTACACCTTAAGTGTCCTCACATAAGGATAGTACCATCCCTGCCAGGTTCCCATTCTTTGGCCACTTTTCGTGAATGC